TGTGGTTCCAGATAATTCCAGAAAAATATGACAAAATGAAAAATGTCATCATGTAACAAATAATGGATGTATTTTGCAGGAAATTTGATGAATTATTTATTTTTTCGGAAATTTTTGAAGAATAATGAAAACATAATTATTTGAATTTTTTACTATTGATCATAAAAGTGTTTATTTTAACATATTTAGCTTTTTTTCATTTTCTCTTCTTTTCACTGTCACTAGCATTGAAAATTGCAAAAATGGTTCTAATCCAGTTACATGGGCAGATAGAATTTTTCCATTATTAGGGAAATTGAAAACTGACAATTTAAAATATTCAATTGCATGCCTCAGTGCACTAAACACAAGGCACATTTTGCCACCTGATACAATCTCTGTAGATCCTAAATTCTGCTGTGCCACTGTAAATTCTAAAATTTTTGTTGCCCCCAAATTATGCTGCCCAGTGCCTGTTATAAAGTCTAAAAATTTTGCCATCCCTAGATTTTATTGCTCAGTGCTTCAATAAATTCTAAAAATTCTCCACATTGGCTCAAGCAGCTGTTCTCACCATATATAATTTCATATTTCTTCTCACTGCTAATATTACTAAAGAAATAAAATTAGCAGTTTGCTCTATGCATTCTAAATGCATGCAGTTTTTTGAATGACAATAATCTTTTATTAAATCCAAAAATTCTGAAGTGAAGAGGAAACTTATTCAAGAAGAAACTGGGTACTTAAAGAGAAAGAAATTGTTCTTCAAAAGTATATTGTTGAAACATTAACAAGTTTTGAAATGGAGCAGAAACTAGTGAGAATATTAGTTTCTTTATTAATAATTACAAATAAACAAAAAATTATTATTACAAATCAACTTAAAAAAGATTTTAAATTGGAGGAAATTGATATAAATTAGCTAAAATGTCTAAATAATTTTCAAATTATAAAAGCCGCATACATATTATCTTGCTATGAAGTGTTGTTTGTTTTTTTGCTGTAAAACATACATTGTTTTGCAGCTTTTAATGTATAAATCTGCATACTATTAGCTAAACTTCTGGACTACAGGAGAGTAGCACATGACAAAACGAGACATATAAAAAAGAATCAACATAAAGCTGTTAGTGAAACCAAAATAAGATGTCTCTAGTCTTTAAAATATATGGGACTGTTATTAGTATGAAATGTAAATGTTTTTTAAAGAAATTAATAGTGACCATGTAAATCTGTAACAGCTAAGGTTATCTAACTACCTAATTTAATTATTTGTAACTAACTATTCATCCTTATGTGTTATCTTTGGTTGTTAAGGCAAGTTATACTCTTTCATAAATTCTTACTGTGGACACAAGATACAACACAAAAATGTAAAAATTAATGTATTCCTTACAGCTATTGGGACTTATAATAGTACAAAACAACTACTGAGTGTTAATTTTTAGAAATTTTTAGTCCTTCTTCAGTCGCAGGAGTAAAAATGACAAGAGATAAGCTTGTGCTCATGCAATACCAGTGAATAAAATATATCTTTGAAGTTCTAATAATTGTTATCTGGTACATTGCTTTTACACAATACTAGTTTTTCTGCATGTAGCCACCTTTTGATCTATTTGGCAGTTATCATACTTCGTTACTTTTCATGCCATTCTTTTCATTGCTGCATTTTCAATAGTGATTTTTAATTAGGATTTAACTATTATTTTACTTTCTAGTAATAAGATGGTTGAATTACTTTTGTTTAGGTATGATATTAATTCTGTCTTCAGTAGCCTAAAGGCTATTAGTTGCAGCCGAAGAGCCTAGTCTCAAAGATGTGAATCAAACTGCAAATTATTCACCTAATTTTGTGAATCCTACATGAACACATAAAAATTCTATTAAATTAGACTCATAGCTTATGATTATCAAATTATTCAACAGTAGAGTGTATGAAAAAACATTCAGTTGATCATGTACATATTTGTTTACACACTAAATAAGACAAAACAGCAGTTTTCCATTCGCTGAAATTCTAAATTCTGTCAGAGTCATTTTTTAATGAGGTAAAGTCATCTTTAACAATTTTCTATAGACAGCCTTCTCAATTTATGTACTTATTTATTTATTTATTTCAAAATGCCTGTTTCATTTCAGATGGCGTGAAAAAAAATTGTGCTTAAATTTATTTCCTTATAAAAATGCACAAAGCTCGAATTCACATCTTTTTAAATAAGCAGGTTAAAGCCCCCTTCTGATTTATTTTAATTCTTGACACTGCATGTTTTAAATGAGCTTAGTTTATTTGTACTTGTTGAATATTATAAACTAATATCCAGACTACATCACAACAAAATTTTCTGTCAGTTATATTTGTATCATTCTTTTAAAAAGATAACATTAAAGTTACTTACACTGAAATCATCAGAATTTGACTAACTTTCTACTGTTGTATTGAACTGCTAAACAGCTATTTTTATACATTTGAAATGTAATGGAAGGGAAAAGTTAAAAATGTTATTTTTATAATATTGCTGGCAAAATGACGAATGTTATAATAATTAAGGTTTTGTTGCAAATGGAAGAAGAAATCCCATTTTCTGTTTCAAAGGGAGGAAGCAATTGCCTTAGTAATGGTGTATGTGAAATATCATATCGGCTGTTAAACATTAACATTGTCATCTGAAGGAAACTTTTGAAGCTTCAAAATTTATTTCAAATTAGCATGTATTTCTAAAAAATACTATTAGGAAGACCGGTATTACAGAATTAGCATTTGGCAAATAGAAACTGAAGTACCACCAACAGGTTCTTTGTGAATCCTGTATTGGTTCTTAGCAAAAGTCTACCGTAATCTAATTTTAAAATGTAAGTTTTAGAAAAATTGTAAAGTTTACTTATTTTGCTGAAGAAGAAGTTTATATTTCTTCCTTAGCAAAAATTAATTTAATAAGTAATAAATCTTTCATTATCTGTTCTTGCTGCACATTATAGTTACAGCTATTTTGCTACTAGTAAGAGCACAAAACAGTAAGCTCAAATGTATACTAACTCATGACATGGTGGACTACTGTTATTTTATGAGAAAGGATAATTATTTCCTTACTAAGTTTTGAGAAAATAAGTACATTGGGAAAACAAAGCTTAGCATTTTATAAGTATGACTACTGATAAGTCTGCCATCTCAGAAAGCATGAAAATGCCATTGTAAATGCTTTGTTTTGTATATGTGTGTTGGCCTCATAATTCAAATAATCAATTTACTATATAGTTCAATATTTATATTTATTATTGGAACAAAAATTGCTTCTTGGTATTTATTCGATTAAGTTTCATTATCTTAAAATATTAAACAAGGCCTGATAGTTACTTTGTACTTCAAGTCCCAGAAATGAGTGATTGTCTACTAAACATGATAGCTCCCATTTGTTCCCAAGTGCTCAAAATTAAGAGCGTCTTGTGATTGGTCAACAATTCTTTAAAAAGTTTCATCATAGTAACATTGTCTAGCCAAGTGATACTGTCTCTAATATTTGGAAGACAAGGGCGACAAAGTTGCTTTTGTATGGAATATTGATTAGAAATAGCACAAGCTTTTTTTTAATGCCTCTTACTTATTCAAAGGTCAATTTGATTCAACTCCTGTAAAATTTATATGTATTTTTATATCTTGAAATTTTATTGAGTTGTAAGCATAACCCCTTTACCTCTTTTAAAACAAAAATGATAAAAATATGTTAATTATGTGATTTGCTGCAATATTCTTCTAATATATCATGTTATATTTCAAATACTACAACAGATTTCTTCAGTGATCATATGACTTCACTTTGAAATAGCATGATGCTATCTTATTTAATATGTTAAATGGTTTTATTTTGTTTTGTATTTGTTATGTATTAAGGTATCTTCATTTCCACTTCCCTGTACCTTAAATCTCACCGTTTTTATTATTGTCTCCAGTACTCCTTAAGGCAGAAATACTTGCTGAATAATTAGGAAGGTGAAATTACAGCTAATTCATTGGAATTGTAGATTAAATTTTAGTTACTGTTTGCTTTACTATAATTGTTTGATTTTTGTATTAGGCTGGCATAAAGTTCACCCGTTAAAAGGAAAAGTTTAGCATGATCTTAGCAAGTAGTTTACGAAGAATTTTCTTTGTTCTTTAAGACAAAAACAAGCACTACATGAATGAATTCGTTTTAAAAGGCAGGGGGAGCTCATTCTCTGAAGATGCTGAGAAATGGGAAAATGCGTGAGGATGTACAATAAAAAAATTAAGAATCTCTATGTAAAATTCATTGTATTAAAAAAAATTTTAAGCATGAAAACATTTTTTTTTTTTTCAATACAATTAAAATTAGGAATTTCTTTATAAAATCTGTTAAAATGTCAATTTCCGATTAGTTAGGGTAATGCAGTATCCACGATAAACTTAAAAACATGGTTAATCAGAAAGCGGAAGCTCAAGAAAAAGTAATAAACCATTTTATAATTAACAGAAAAATATTATTCATAATTTTCCTCTATTTTCAAGCTGCTTAATCTGGAGAATAAAATTATTTGGTTAAATAAATTAAACCAGTATTCAAAACAAAAGAAATACTTTGTAAACAATGGAAGAATAAGCATTACTGCAAATGAAAAAAGTAAGTTGTAAATGGCATTAAAGAACAATATTTGCTAGAAAAAAAATTTGAAAGAAGTCATTAGAGTTCAGATTCGCATAAAAAAATGTTTGATAGATCATTTTATCTTTTGGCAGCATTCATTTGATAGACATGATCTTCAGTCACTGCTGTTGTCCCATACAATTTTCTTTTCCTTACAGTATTTTTCATATTTTTTTAATACTGCTGATGGTGTCTAACAGTAACTGTCCCATTTATTTGCACATGATAAACAAACTTTTATCTTAGACAATGCTTGGTTAATTTGCAACCACACTCGCTTAATTGGGAGTTGTCTGCATACGTAAGCACTTAAATTTACAATAAAAAAATAAATGTTAATTTTATTTTTTGCAAACTTTTCAGAATCTGTTTATTAAATGGGAAGCCAGTAAGATCACTTGAAGAACTAACAAATAGTCAGTCATATGTTGTGATATGCAAGCATGAAGTTTTTAAATTTGGTACTTATGGTAACAACCCACAAAAAAAGCCTCGCTCATCTTCACGAGAAAAATATCGGTAAGTAATTATATAAATTTATGTAATTCCCAGTTTGAATTTCTAACTTAGATAGTAGTGTAAACTTCATAGCTTGAACCTATATGCCTTTTTATATTAAATGAAATCACTAATATTTTTGCTAGATAATAATACAAGAATTATAGCATTTTTAAATTTTGTACCATATATATTATATATATTTTTTTCCACCATCAAATTCAAATTTTCTATTTCAGTATATTTTTTACTCATAATAAGTATTCATCATTTCTTTGATACATAATAAATGTTGCTCTCAGAAAAGACAGAAGCTGATAGGAAATAGCCTAAATAAAATTACAAATCAATATGTAAAACTGAGTTTGTCATATAACTCCTTTCAATTAATTCACTTTCGTCAAATGTGAGACTTGTATCATTTACTTTGTAAAATTTAAACATACCCCCATATTTTTTTCTGTCAAAGTAATTTCTGGAAAATCAAAGACTTTTTGTTCTTATTATATTCAGTGGGTTAGATTCTGACTTGTATAAGAAATAGTATGAGAAATTTCAAATGGCAGCTGTATTGAAATAAAAAAAAAGGTTATATTTATAATTCTTGTAACAAAATACTAATTTTTTTGTTCTAAATGCATATTGTATAAGAATGTACTATATTTTTCATAATAAGCAATTAATTTATCTGTTCTTGTTTTAGAATTGTATTTGTATATTCTTTTGCTGTTCCTGAAAAATATACAAAGGTTGGACAATGAAACATTTGCATTCTGGAGTGTGCCTCTTTATTAGTATGGTACTCTAGTAAAAAAAAGTTTTAGTCATCCTTTTTTCAAAATAATGGTTAATTCATTTTGTGGTAGTGGAGGAGGCAAATACTTTCTATCTGTCAGCATATATTAAACAGGCTCAGAGGTGTCCAAATCAGGTTATGCAGCTCACGGATAATGTTTATGCTCCATTTTATGTTCTTCAAACCACTCCATTATCAGTTTCACTGTGTGAAATGGTGCTTTGTCATCTTAATGTACATTTCTTTTGGAATACAATGTTTGAATTGCTAGGCTTATATAGTCTTCTAGAATATATCACTAGTCTGTAATGATAAGGCTCGAAAGTGGCCAGATAGTTAAGACTACTGAACATTGGCAGGTCTGCCTGTGTTCGAATCATGGTGAATAGATAGACTACATGAATGTTTCCTTGGTATTCCCAATATGTAACATGGATATCAGCGAGTTTTTCTTAGAAATTCCTCCACAAAGGCATCGGAAGGGTTTGATTTACCTTTGCCTTGAGAGGATGAACAGGGACCCTAAGGAAAAGTGAACTATTACACACAGTCTGCTGGAGGGTAACATGCTGTTTCTAATGTAAAGGAACTTTGTGACAAAGTATGTAGGGAAACTAGTCTAAGACAAGTCGTAGCCATATCTCAACTGCTGGCCCAAAACATTCCTGCCCACAGATGCAAAGGAATGGCAGGATGCATGCCGTTTTTAAAAACTAGGACATAAGAAAAAACAAATTCATTTCTGAATTGAACTGAGTGCATTGAATGCATGAATGAATAAATCCATCATATTTGCTGTGGAATTGTTGTGATAGCCAAACTCTTGACCCCTCTACAGCTGACCTTCCCCTTAGACAGGTAGCCCTCATGTACTTTGCCATTTAAATAACCTAACTCGATAATGAGGTAAATATCAAGAACAAGCAGTGTTTCCATAGACTTCCACAACAGTGCATCACTGATCCACTCTGAATACTAGCAGCTCAGATCATGAAAAAGTTCTTTACACACTGTACACAATATGATTATTTTAATTGTTAATATCTGACTCCATAAATCCCACTATTGGTTGAGAGGTTAAGATTGCTGAATACTAATAGTTCAATCTGGGTTCAAACCTAAGCAAATGGGCTGACTGCATGGGTGATTTTTCATTTTTTTTAGGGAGGGTAATGCAAATATGAGCCAGTTTCCCTTAGGAAGGCCTTCCACATAGCCATACCTTCCCTTAGACAAATAGCTCTTATGTATGTTTCTGCATTCAAATAACCTGACTCTGTAAAGACTGCCAGGCAACTTATCGCTATATCCTAATCCTTCAGTAAAATAGTCAGAATAGTCAGAAGAAAGAAGAAGTTCCGAGTCAAAAGAAAATTTAAAAGAAACCTTTTTATTTTATCTTCCAAACAATTTATACAGCTCATGTAATAAATAATAGAAATGCTTCTGCTCTTTAAAAATTAACTGAACAAACGTTAAAGTAAAACTTGAGCATATTAGAATATGAAATACATGAGATAAAGTCTATATACAGGTTTTGACTCACACAAGCAAACATGGTTGGAACATACATAGCAAACATACATCGGCTGGAGCCGATTCAAGTGAATTTAGAAGCCTGGATGAAAATATTATTAAGATGGTGAGTAGTTGCTACGAAAAGCTCAGTAAAAATCAAGAACTCTGTGTTTATATGCATGAATAAATTTGCAGCCTAGTAGGAGCCAATGAAAGTAGAAATGATAATAATACAAGCAAAAATAATAAGATAAGTTTTTAAAGCCTACAAATATGAGAATTTAATTAATTTGAAGAGAAAGAGCTTAATAGCATTGGTAGAGAATTTTAAATTCTGAAACTCTGATTCAGTCAAAATATTTATAGTGCTTTCAAAAGTTATAGACTTATTCGTGACATTTATTACCTAAACTGGATTTGCAATTACATCTAAACTGGATAGTTAATGTCTATCTCTTATCCTTAGAGTTTCTTGGAAGGAAGCATATTTGGAACCAAAAATAAATACTTTTAATTATGTGGATAGTACATATAAGCATGACTTAATAATTTACTTTAAGAATTTGCTTTAATGCACTTTAATTTTTTTTTCTCTTCAGCCTCTGTTAAGTGAACAGGTATGTGCCTTGTATCAAAGCAACTTCTACCTCCCATAACAAATCCTACATTGTTACTATGCTTGACCTACTAGACCTAAAAAAATACCCCGTATTTTAATTTAATATGAGAGCAAAGTATTTCTCAAGAGCATTCCCCTAACTTTCTCAAAACTTTTCCTTCTCATTAACACTAAATTTCTGCTACATTTTCATTTATCGTAACAGTAAATTTCAAATAAATTTTCATTTTTTTATAGTAAATCTCTAATCTACTTCAGTATCATCAAGTTCTTTATTACATTCATTCAGTTTTTAATTTTGCATATAGAGTGCATAAACACATGCAGTAAACTGCTAATATTCATGCAGTTATAAAATGTTTGACTGCTTGTATTCTTTCTGAACTAAGAAAACTCATGACTGACCTTAACCTCTGACTTTTGTTACAATTATAATTGTGGCAGTATGGTTTTGGATGTGGTTTGATTTCTAGTAAAGAATAAATGTTTATGAAAAGTGTAATCTTTTTCTAGGTAGGCAGTAGTCTATGAATTTTGTCTTTAATTTAATTTCTTTTCCTTCGTCTACAAGAAATGTATCATATTTTTCAGGACCAAAAATTCCTATTATATTAAGAAAAGTATTAATGCTCACCTTCTCTTCTTTATTATGTAATCTACTGGCTACTTCATAATTTTAAAATGATTTCAGCCATCTTTGCCAGTTTGAAGCAAGATTTCCGTCGAATTTCATTGGCTGTGGTGGCTTCAAACTTTCCATTTTTAAAGCTAAAGACTCCTGACACATATAAAATAAACAGCATGTACTTTTAGCTATCTAAACTATTTTATTTATAAGCATGGGATATTAAATGTTATTACGAAGAACTACACTACTAACATAGTTCTATTTTTACATACATCCAAACTTCACAATTACTAAAGCCATTGACAAGTTACTAAATACTAAATGTTATGCATGGATGACACAAACATTAGTGTATGACTGGTTTGAAGATTGTTTCATACCCAAGGCTCAACAGAATTTGGAATTGTTTGGTTTACTACATCATATAAAAACTATCCTGATTATAGACATCTGTTCTGCTCATGCTTCACTAAAAGTTTGAGTAAAAGATAACTTCGTCTTATTCTTTTCTCTAAATTTTACATCCATCATTCAGCCAATGGATGTTAAAGAGCTGAAATGCAGATCCAAAGTTGCATTTTTAAAATCTATGCTAAATTTTCTCAATAATGGCAAGACTGTTCAAGAATTTTTGAGTTATTTGGACATAAAATGTGCTATATCATTGCAGGGTCATGAGAGGGCATGTCTGCAAAGCCAGCTACTATATTTCATAGTGATGATGATGATAGCTGTAATTTTGCAACTTTTTGGATATAACAAGCAAAAAGCGAAATTTTCCACATAATGGAATTTGTGCAGAAATAGGGAGAAGTAATAACTGAAGATGATGTAACAGAAGCTTTCATAGCAATGACAAAGCTTCAATCATCTAAGGACAGCAAAATCAGCAGTATGATTTTAAATATAGAATATATCATTATAGATAGTGAAAATAAGTACAGAGAGGTTATTGAGAATTAAAAGATTTTTTGACTGCCAATTTAGTGAGAATTCTTGACATGACAATTACACGACTTGAACAGTGGAAATTTGTAACTGAACAAGAAATTATGTGTAACTGTAAGATTTTAAAAAATGTATTAAGAGCATAAACAACTTATGTTAAAAGATATGTTTTATACAATAAATTAAATTAAGCCTTTTTTTTTTATTATTTTCATAATTTTTTTCATGTTATCTTACTGATGATCTAACATACGGAAATTTCCGGAATCGCCGAAGTCCTGATGATCGGGATCTTTTTGTTGTGTAGTACTTGAGCAGTTAAAGCCACACATAGCAAATGTATGGCCTGTGGGAAGTTTTCGTAGATTTTCTTATGTATAATGTGCATGTGAGCCAGTTTCCCATGAAAAAAGCATTCATCATTTGGTAAAGCCGTCACTAGCATTACCTTAATTAAATCAACCAAGGAATTACTCATTATCATGTAAAATCTAAATTTTTTTAAGCAATTTGAGTGCCATGTATATGAAATTAAAGTTTATGACTTTAGTCATTCTTCTGGTAAAACTCTTGACAACACAATGTTCAGTTGCTCAAGTAAAAGACACACTAATTTATTTCCCAATCAAAAAGTTACATATCACAAAACTGTAATTTTGTTACATGTTACTTTTCAATGAGATGCATCTGCTGGAGTTAATTTTAAAAAAATATGTGTATATTTGTTTGAGTATGTGTAATTTAATACTTATTTTCTTCTTTGCAGTTTCCACAGAAAGCCTCAAAGAGCTTCATCTGTTTTTACGACAAGATCATCTGCTCAATCTTTGAAACTGAACTCTTCCTTATCTAGTTCTAGAAGTAACACACATACACCAGCTGTACACTCTGCAGTTGTTAGGCAAGAAAATGAGAGTCCTAGCAATAAGAATAGCATTAAGGATGAGTATCCATGTTTTACTCCTGTTCAAAAGGATATAATCCAAGATCAGTCTTTTAAAGAAAATTTTATGGACAAATTGAGCCTAGATTTTGACATTGGTTAGTTATTTTTCTAATAATGTAGAGTCTAATTTAATGTTGTATTTGTTAATTTACTAAAACTAAAGTCATATATTATGAGTTTATTTAATCTAGTTAAATTTTAACAATCATTTTTAGTAAATAGCTGTTCCTGATTAAATTTTGGTCATAAAGAAATAATTTTAATTTAGATGTTTAAAAGAAATGATTGCTAAAATGATTTAGTTTTATCCAAGGTACATGCATTAAATGGCGGCAATTTAATCAAAATTTTGTTAAAAACAGATGTATAATGCTGGAATCATTTCAGTTATGACCCTAGAACATGTATGTTATCTATGTTGAAAAGCATGTTTTCTAAATTAAACTTAAAGTTGCCAAACATCAGATTATTCTGCAAAAACTGAATATAAAAGTCTTTTATGAGCTTCCTATAGTTGAGATTAATAAAGATAAAACTGTTGAATAAATATGTGCAAATGGAACCAGGAATAGAAATTAAAAAAAGATAATTAAAATTTTTGCAGGAATAGAAACTTTTTATGCCTGTTGCAATTTTAAATGAAAACTAAATCAGTGGCTTGATGTTTATTGTAAATTACTTTACTTATAAATAATGTAAAAGAAGCTACAATCTTTCTTTCACAAATAACTGTGAAATTTTTTATGGTTATGCATACAGTTAAACACCAAACATCTGTTTTATTTTAATTGCATTGAAACTGTAAGTTACCACTGAAACTCTGTTTTTAAGGAAATCAAATGGGTTATAATTACCATTTTTATTGCTTTACTGGGCATTAAGTTCTAATAGAGGATTGTGGGATGTGATTTAATCTACAACCATTTTCAATAAAAGCATCTAATTCTTTAATTGCTGTTGTCAGTTTTGAATTATAAGCTGTTGTTGTCATGCTTATGTACTTTCAACAATTCTGAAGTCTCATAAATGTTTTTGCATTTAACTAAAAAAAAAAAAAATCTGTTTGGCAGCTCTCTACAAAAATTTTAATGCAGAAAAATTCTTATGGACAGTGGAATAATGTTATCTTTTTCAAAGTCATAAATTATGATAATTAAGTAACTTCTTTGTTATTTAACCAAAAACATTGTTGTGTTCATTAAATGATTTGCAGCATCTGATGTGAAAATATGCCTTTAGAGAGTTTGAATAATCACTTTGTTCTTAAATTTTCAAGAGGTTAATTATTTTATGCTGTATTAGAAACAAAATATCTCTTCACAATGTCTGTTATATAGAGTATGAAAAAATATAATCTTTTTCATAGCAAGAAAGGCAGAACCTTGCGCAACTAATGCATTTTCAGTTTTATAAACAAGACAGTGTGTGTGAAAGGGCTGAGAACACCAAAACTTGAATCATACGAGTCTGAAAAACTGACAGAATCACTGGTCAAATAAGAAAATATGCAGGAACAGATAATTTATAGGATGCTAGAATTTAGTCTGTTGTAGAATTTTTTTTTTTTTTTTTTTTTACAAGTGTAATGTACAATTTACATTTGTAGAAATGTATGCACATGGTGGAGACATGAATATAGTTGGTATTAAATGTTTTACATTTTAGTAGTAACTCATCATTTTCCAAACTCATCTTTTTCCAACAAAGATAAAGTTATTTATTATGTTTCACTGTCTTTTTTTCTTAATGATCTATGTAACTATGTATAGTATGTGCTTACAGATTTCTCTATACCTTTAGATTACAGTGGAGTGTTTCGTTCAAAGGAAAAAAATGATTTAACTCATGGAGCTGTGGAGGTGGAAGACAGTCCGGAAACACTTGTTGATTTGCCTGTTGATTTACTGGATGCTGAAGAAGTTGAGGTAATGTAATTTTTATTCTTGGATACTTCAACATTGTATTCTTACTTTGCTGCAGTGTCATATGCCCATACTTTACATTTGTTAAGTTGTAATAAAATTTTTTAATAAAAATTTGCAATGAAAAGATTTCTTAAAGTACTAATGCTGTTAAATTTTAAGGTAATCTTCATTTCCATAATATGCTTTAACACAAAAGTATGGGCCCCTTCATTAAACATCAGTTTCTTTTTGCAAAAACAATAAATCTACTTCTAAACATGACTAGTTTTATTCATTTTGTCTACATGCTCTTAGTGTATATTGATAAAGTTAAAATAAACACTTTAATAAAGTATTAATCCTGTCAAATGATTGATAAAAATCTAAGATTTGGAATCTCTACTGATAGTTTCCTGTATGAGCAATATTTTGTTCTTTGCCATCTATAATTTTTTGTTTCTTTTTGGCACTGAATGTATGCTGGAATATTTTTTATGAAAAATAATAGTTCTATAAGGAAATATTTCAAAATTATCTGTATGAATTTCTTCATAGTTTGTTTTCAAAATTTTGGCACTTCATTTTAAGATCTGTGTTTGAAAGATTTTTATTTTTTGAAAGAAAGGAATATTAATGTTATATTAGTGTTAATTCTATGATGCTGAAGCATGTAGAATCTAATTCCCATATTATATAACATAAACAGTCTTCTATTTTCAGAGCCTTGCAACTTTAAGGTTTTTCTTGTAAAAGAAATCGCTTTCATATATCAGATCATAAGCACTAGGCACAAAGATGTGTTCACAAAATATTTTTCAAATCTTGCATTGCATTCTTGCTTACTTGTAAAGCACAAAGTCTGCACCCATAAATGTTTAGCTTGTGCAATAAAAACGGTAAATATGCATGTGCATTATCTCTCTTATTTAGTATAACTCATCTTATAATTTCAGTCCATAAAAAGTTGTTTTGGAAGGATGGTGCTAATGATCAAAATAACAGCAGGCAAAAGAAGCAAAATTAGCTTTTTTCTTAAAACATGAAAGGAAAAAGAAAGCCTTAACATTGAAATTTCTTTTAAAGAACAGTTTTAGCATAAGGGAAAGTTCTAAATGGAGATTACTGTTCACTTTTCCTGTAAGACCATTCTGTATAATATATGCTGTAATTGCTTTTAACAAAGTTCATTTTAAGTCATTATATATACTGAGTGATTAGTTTATTATGACAACTCACTCCGTAAATTGTTGGGTCATCTTTTTTCATCAACACTGTTCCAGTTTTCATTTATATGGGCTCTGTGAAATATTAGCAAATGGAATGAAAAATTTGATGCCATATTTAATTAACTCCATATTCCAAATCTAAAATTTGATGGCCCTGAATTCTGCTGCAGGATGCCTCTTGCAGCATGAACTACAATTTACAAGTTTGGTTGAGATTCAGTGATATTTTAGGCTAAGCAGGGTAAAATTGTTTCCGTGCTTTCCATGCTATCTAAGAATAATAATTAGCTTTGTAACATGAAGCATAATTCTGCTAGAAGTATCCACCTCCAGTAAGGTGACCATTTAGCATAACTGGATCTACTTTGATGGCAACTATAATTAAATACTTTTGAATATTTTAATATTGTTTCATGTGAATTAAAGTCTACACAATGTCAGCAGAACATTCTCTAAATATGCCTTTGCCAACTGGAAGTGTTGTCATAATGCACTTAAGAATTTCTTTTAATATTGCTTCTTTTAAAATTCTATTAACATAATTCTTGGTTATTATTTTTGCCGATAGATGGCGCGTTGCCTCCTTGCGCATGGTTCTACCAGAGGGTATAAAAAGCCGTTGCAGAGGTTGCTTTCCCTTTCTAGTAATTTTGTTCCTCCTGATGAGGAGGGACCTGTAGCTGCCCTCGAAATCGATTGAGTGTTTTAATAAATGTACGCAGAATACAAGGTTGTTATTGTGATTTAGATTGAAGTCAGAATGTTCTTCATATATTTGAAGTTAACTAAAGATCTTAAACTGCATCTAGGAAATGAGAAGGAAAACAACTCTCTATTATGCTATGTAGAAGCAGATTGGAAAAGCCATGCAACCAATAGGAAATCTAACATTGGAAATTCCTTTGCATATCTGCATAACAAGGCAGTGTTTTTAGATGGAACTGCAGAGTATAACCATGTGATACTACTATGTCCATTCACTGAAGCAGACTATATAGCTTTTGCCAGGACAACAAAAGGAGGCAGTTTGGCTTAAAGGCTTTTGCAAGATATTGATGAAAACAAAACTGTTTGCATTTTCTATGAGAATAACCGAAGTTGCATTAGTATGTTAAATAGAAACAAAGGCAGTGAGATAACTAAACAGTTAGACATTAAATATCATTTTGTGAAATATTTTATTAAAGATAAAAACTACAAACTCCAATATCTGCCCACTGAAGAAATGACTACAGCTATTTTAACAAAGGCATTAGGAACAAACGAAAAATTTTTACACTAAATGTTAT